GAACCGTACAAGGAAAGAGAAAGAGAGGAAGGCAGAGAAGGAGATGGGAGGACAACATTACAGAGTGGACAGGAAAGACGATGGGTGACAATCTGAGGAGAGCAGAGGACAAAAATAGATGGCGAGAGCTGGTTTTCCAATGCAATGGTGGCCCAACGGTTGTCCCAACCACGGGATAGAAGAAGAATACCATACGTGTGTAACAGACATAGTCAGTGACCTTCTTAGACTTGTATTATAATATCTTAGACTGTGAACTCTGACGCAGTTACGGTTCTCCATGGACCTCACCATCTCACTCGAATGAAACCAAATGACAGGCGAGGAAGGAATATGAAAGATCTTACATACAAGATGGTTCACTCCTCTCTTTGAGCCATTCAAAAAAGTGTCCTCAAATCCGGCCGCGTCCTCTTCGAAAAAGCTCCCACTTTGCGAACAGAGTTACTCTACTTGTGTGCAAAAAGAAAATCAAAGTGAAATTCTTTTCTTCTTCTGGAGAAAAACGAGCTTCAAAACAAAGACTGCAACGCCATCTGAAGCGGGCTACCGCGGACACTCTTTTGGGTGAGTTCAAAATCTTCTATCGTCTTTGGGAATGTTTATGCACGCTTTCAACAATAGCAAGACTGGCGTTTTGTCCTTCATCTGCGCATCCGTGGTGATGCGCACCTTACTTTGAATATTTTTAAGAAGCAATGGGCTTTAGCTATGACAGTGCACGATCTAGGACCCTAAAATTCCACTGTAGCCTCTATCTCGTGTCTCCTTTATCTCCAGAGGGAGGTAAACAAACGGGGTTGGAAAGACGTGCTTGCTGGAGGGGCCGCTGTTGCGTTATTTGGGAGAAAGAGACACGCACGGGTAAGTCTCATGCTTGCTTATTTTACTTTTTTCTTCCGCTTGTACCAATGGGTGTCGCGGGGAGACACAGGCGTCTGTCTATATACAGCAAGGCGAGTGGCCTGTAGGAGGGACATCGCGTGAACTGTGAGGGTGTCTGCCACAGACTCGCTCCAACATCGTCTTGATCTTCCTCTGGTTTTCCAGCCAGAATATCTGGTGTTGTATGACCTCAGAACTCGCTGATATGAAGGCATCCATTAGTATGTTACTGATGGAGCAAATTCATTAGAGGCCAGAAACCAGATTACCGTTGGCACATTGAATGTGGGATCACTGAGAGCAGCAGGACAAGTTGAAATATAAGACATGGAATGAAGACATTATTGGGCTCTGTGTAGTACGCATACACACTCACAAACATACATACTCAAAATACTTGCACCCAAAAACTCGATGATCGTGCAAACACACCCTCAACACCCCCTCCCTAGTCCCACCTCCCTTTTTCCACATACAGACTCAAATGAATTTCTCGGTTATCCGAAGTACACAACACGCACATCCACTTACATCATACTCACGCATGCATACACACACACACACACACACACACACACACACACACACACACACACACACACATACACAAGCACACACATACATATATACATTTGTACATACAACAAACAAACACACATATACACACATACGAACATACACACACACATACATGCACACACACGCATACATACAGCCATTCGTACACACAAATAAACACACAACACACACACACACATACACACACACACACACACAGACATGCACATAGATATTCCCACACCACTACACTTAGCTAGTAGTACACCAACCTAGATCACTGACATCTGTGGAGTAGAGGTAAGATGCTTCATTTCATAGTTCTCAGAAAACGTGCTTTTTTTCAAGTGTGGGAAGAAATTTCATCAAGTATCTTTCTGCCTGGACATAGCATCCCGCTTCGTCCAGGTTGTCCCTGATAGTCAGGGTCGAAGCAGCCCGCCCCCCCAAATTATCTTAAATGTGGCAGTGTGGAGTAAAACGTTTTACTGTTATTACAGGACCTGCAAGACACACGTCGCTGGCCGTTTGGAAAGAGAGACGCATCTGTAGGTTTGTCTTCGGACTCAGGTATCTTTCTGTCTACTCGTATGATCTATCTATCTATCTGTCTGTCTGTCTGTCTGTCCGTCTGTCTGTCTGTATGTATGTCTGTCTGTCTCAGTCTGTCTTTCATCTGCAAGTTTGTCTTCGGACTTAGAATTCTCCTAGCTATTTAAATGATATGCCTACTTACATTCCTTCGTACTTATCTATCTATATTATATTTTTCTTTCTATCTAAACATACATTATTGTAACCATTTTGTACCAAGATGTCTTTGGTATAATAATCAGACTTTCTGATGTTGTAAACAAAAGACATGAGTTCGAGTCCAATGTGTTAAAATAATAATGTTTTATTTAGTACCGGTATCGCCCGTAAAATTTTTCAATTATTACAAGACGAACAACCCTCGCGTCGCTGGCTGATTCTTGGAAAGAAAGACACATCTGTAAGTTTGTTTACGGACTCACGAATCTATTTGTCAAACTGTACAATTTACCTACCTTAAGTAGTTACACACATATATATAAATATATAAATATATATATATATATATATACAATGTATCAATATATAACTATATGATGATGCTCGTCCTTCGCTGGCGAAGATGACCTTGACTTCACATCACTGGAGGGGTGGGGTGTGTGCGTAGATGGCTGATTAGGCCGATCTTCGCACGGAAGTGTCTGTTGCAGTGGGGGCAGGGGATATTTGGGGCTGAATTAGGCTGGAAGGTAGGGCTCTCTCGGTCTTTTCTCAGCTGCCGTCTCCATTCTTTCTTTCTGACGCGACTATCTTCGAATTTCACCACACCCGATCTTATTAAGGAGCGCCAAACTGTGTAGTCGCGAGCAGTTTCTTCCCAGGTGGTATGGGGAATGTCACAACTCTTCAGGGATGCTTTCAGAGCATCTTTGAAGCGTTTCTTTTGTCCGCCGAGAGAGCGTTTGCCTTGGGTCAGTTCACCGTAGAGTAGCCTCTTTGGGAGATGAGAGTCGTCAATGCGGTGAACGTGGCCGGCCCATCGGAGCTGAGAGCGCAGTAGGATAGCGTGTATGCTCTCCATCTTGGCCCGCTGTAGTATCCCTGTGTCTGGGACTCTGTCTTGCCACTTGATGCGAAGCAGTGTCCTGAGGCATCTCATGTGGAAGGCATTGAGCTGCTTGGCATGCCGGCTGTACACTGTCCACGTTTCGCAGGCGTAGAGCAGGGATGGCAGAACTACTGCTTTGTACACTTTGAGCTTGGTGTTAAAGCTCAGTCCTCTTCGCTCCCAGACCTTGTCTTTCAGTCCACCGAAGGCTGAACTAGCTCTAGCAGCTCTGTAGGCCACTTCCTCATCGATATTGACCGAACGAGAGAGGGTGCTGCCAAGGTAGACAAACTTATCTGCCACTGCCAGTCTGTGGTCGTAGATGGTGCAATGGGGCTCTACGTAAGGAGCCGATGGGGCTGGCTGGTACAGAACTTCGGTCTTCTTTGTGGAGATAATGAGGCCGAAATTTTCGCAAGCTTTAGAAAAACGGTCCAGGCTTCCCTGCATGTCTGACTGAGTACTGGCATTCAGGGTGCAGTCGTCCGCAAAGAGGAAATCGTGGGCTATGCCTGCATGGACTTTAGTCTTCGCCTGCAGCCTCCGAAGGTTGAAGAGTTTTCCATCACTGCAGTAACGAAAACCGACACCGATATCTCTGTCGTGGTAGGCGTCGGTCAGCATAGCTGAGAACATCATGCTGAACAGAGAGGGGGCCAGCACGCAGCCCTGCTTCACTCCATTAGTGACGGGGAAGGGCTGGGAGTACACGCCATCGTCTTGCACTCTTGCTGTCATGCCATCGTGGAACTATTGGACCATCACTATGAACTTTGCGGGGTACCCGAACTTTGCCATCATCTTCCACAGCCCTTCGCGGCAGACAGTATCAAATGCTTTCGTCAGATCCACAAATGTGGAGTAGAGTCCAAGGTTCTGCTCCTGGCATTTCTCTTGTAGTTGACGAGCAGCGAAGATCATGTCCAAAGTACTGCGTCCCACGCGGAATCCACACTGACTCTCAGGGAGCAGGTCGCGTTCCAGTTGTGCAACCAGGCGATTGAGCAGGATGCGAGCCAGGATCTTCCCAGCGATGGAGAGCAGGGTGATGCCTCGGTGGTTGTCGCAGGTGTTCCTGTTCCCTTTGCGCTTGTAAAGGGGGACAATTGAAGCGTCTTTGAGTTCCTGTGGCAGCTTTTCTGGTAACCACATGGCGGTTAACAGGTTTGTCAGTTTCTCTATTAGTGTTGGGCCTCCAGAGGCGTAGATTTCGGCTGGAATGGAGTCGGCACCTGGTGCCTTGCCACTAGACAGGCGTTTGATGGCGAGCATTACTTCTTTTTTCTGTTGGTGGGTCTGCCACAGTGTTGTCGATTGGCACTTCTGGTAGTCTTACAATGGCTTCACTGTTGATGGAAGATGGTCTTTTGAGGACACTGTTGAAGTGTTGTGCCCAGCGCTCGAGGATTTTCTCTTTGTCTGTTGTCAGCGTGCCCCCGTCTGCGCTGAGGAGAGGGGATTGCCCTGATGAGGTGGGTCCGTAGACGGCCTTGAGAGCGCTGAAGAAGTTCTTCATGTCCTTCCTGTCTGAGTAGGCCTGGATGGCGTCGGCCTTCTCACTGAGCCATTTGTCTTGTAGTCGTCGTAGTCCGAACTGGACTCTCCTCCTGGCCGTATTGAAGTTCTTTCTTTGAGGTGGAAGAGGGGTCATTTAGGAGTGATCTGTGGAGTCGGTGCTTCTCCTCTAATATTGTCTGGATGTGACAACTGTTGTCGTCGAACCAATCTTTGTGCTTGCGGACAGTGGGGCCAATGATGTCTAAGGCAACATCATAGACGGCGTCACGGAGACGTGCCCACTGTGTCTCAACATCGGCATGTGGGTCTATGTCGCTTGGTTTTAGTTTTTTCTCTAGCTCTTCTACCAGCGCATGTTTGACAAGAGCGTTCTTGAGCTTGGAGACGTTCAGTCGCCTGGCCACTTTGATGCCTTGGGGCCTCCTGGGTGGTGTGATTCTGAGGCTCATCTTAGAGATGAGGAGACGATGGTCTGTCCAACATTCTGCACCGCACATGGTCTTTGTGACTCTAACATCCTGTCTGTCTCTTTGCCTGACGATGACGTAGTCGAGTAGATGCCAGTGCTTGGAGCGTGGATGCATCCATGACGTTTTGTTACGATTGGGCAGGCGGAAGACCGTGTTGGTGATGAGGGGATCGTGGGCAGCGCAGGTTTCCAACAGGAGGAGTCCGTTGCTGTTGCAGTTGCCAACACCGTGTTTCCCTAACACTTCCTCCCACGACTTGTGGTCTCTGCCGACTTGAGCATAGAGGTCACCAAGGATGATGAGTTTGTCTGCCCTGGGTACGGCTGTGATGGTCTTTTTTAGGTCATCGTAGAATTTTCCTTTTATGTCGTCGGGGTTGGTCATAGTGGGTGCGTAAGCGTTGATTAGCATGGCGAATTTCTTCTTGGGGGAGCGGGAGGCGGGCAGTCATCAGGCGATCGTTGAATCCCTTAGCGGGAGCTGCCAGCTTGTTGACCAGTTTGGACTTGATAGCAAAACCAACCCCTGCCTCGCGACGCTCTCGAGTCCACGACCGATCCAGAAAAATGTGTAGCCGGCAGACTGCTCTGTGAGTTGTCCTTCCTGAGCGAGGTGAGCCTCACTGAGGGTGGCTATCTGTACTTTATATCGACTTGAGAAATGATGAGGGTGATGATGGGGGTGGGGATGATGAAGTCTTGCGCTTGAATTTGATTTAAGTGAGGGAGAGTTGCGCAAAGTCGTCAGCCTCACTCTCTTGTCCCTGTCCATCTAGTTCCGGTGGCACGACGAAATCGAGACGGCCGGAGATGGGCCGGGATGCAGCGGATGGCCAACAGTGTCTTCACTGTGCCCTTGTCGCGCTCCGCAGCGCTCTGCTCGGACCGCCTTTCTGCCCGTTGAACCACCGAGTGGTTTCGTCCGCGCAGTCTGCCGGAGCCAGTCTTTGCATGCGTAGGGAGACAGACCCTAATTATCTCACTAGTGGGTTTGAAACCCGACCAGCTACCCTCTACCTGGTTCAGCCCGCCCCCCAAAGCGGTTACCGGGGTGTGGCCGCTGCGCATGCTGCAGCTTCGTGGAGCCACAGGTGAGAGTTGAGTGTCCGGTGGGAACCAATGTAGAGAGGGCTGTCCTGAAAAGGACATATA